TGGTATTTATATGGTGCTGGGGATTGAACCCAGGGCTTTGTATATCCTAGGCAAGCACTCTTCCAACGGAGCTACTTAGACAGTTTCTACTCTAATTTTTAGTTTCCTGTTTGTTATTTAGCCCTGCTGACTTAATTTATTATAAACTCAAATTTACATACAAAATAATCACTAATATTACAGCTTCCCTCCTCTTCCTTGTTAATTGGTAATAGACTAGCTGTTTTGCTTCTAGACAAAAATAGATACAGTAAATTTGGATCTTTTGGATCCTCTTTCCTCCTGACAAAAAGTTTTTGTTTGTTTTAACTTTTAATTTATTCTTTGTGTCTTTTACATCATGAGTCTTGATCCCATTTATCTACCCATCCCTCCATATCCACCCTCTGCCCTAGCAACCTTCCTTCCCCAATAAAATAAAATAAAATAAAATAAAATTTAAAGAAAGAAATGGAAATAAAGGAAAAATCTCATCATGGAAGCGGCAGTGTGACACAGTCTCACAGTAAACCCTTTATCCGTGTACTTACTTGGAAGTGTTCATTGCAAAGAGTCATGGTTCCAGGCCTCTGGTTTCTGCTACACTTTCATACGATACTGGGACTCCTTGGCTATCCTGTTGTTGCTCTGTGTTGTAGAGATCCTGTAGTTTTTGGTCTGCAGTACTGGTCCCTCCAGCAGATCACAGATGGGGTGGATGTTGTGGTGATTCAACTCCTAGTCCTGATTCAGGGCGTGGGTAGTGGTGGACTTAGTCAGCCTGCCAGTTCTCCCTTGTCCTCACCTTCAAGATGAGCTCTCCAGCACTGCCCTGGCTAGTTTTCTCCTTGCAGCAAGGGGGCAGGTCCAGTTCTCCTGCTTTGAAGCCCTCAGGGTCTGCTCTTCCACACCTACACCTTCAGGGCCAGCTCTACTGTGTTGCCCAGGTGAGATGCAGGGGCCACTCTCTGAATGCTGCAGCTGGTAAGGGGGAGGGTCAGTTCCCTTGCCCACCACAGGTGGCAGGGTTGGGGGGTATCTTTCTCTCGCCCTCATCACCATACAGCAGACAGAGGGGTGTGGCCAGCTAGTCCATCCTCATCCTCTCAGGGCCAGCTTACTTGTGCCTCTGCCAACAGGGTCAGCTTTACTGTGCTGCCCAGGTGAGGAGCAGGGTCGCTTTTAGCTGGTAAAGAGGAAGATGACCTCCCTTGTCTACTGGAGGTGGTGAGGGTGAGGAGTAAGGGGGTTATCTCTCCCCCACCCACACTGTTGCCTGATAGATGAGTAGTAGGGACTGCTCTCCCATACTCACAGCTTTGGGGCTGGCCCACCCACACCTCTGCCAACAGGGTTGGTTCTGTTGTGCTGCCCAGGGCCCGCTCTCTGGAGTACTGTAGCTGGTGAGGGGCAAGGGCAGCTCTCCTACTCTTTTGACCTCAGGGTCAGCTTTCCCACCTGCCTCAGGCTCTTTGCGGGAGGATCTTCCCCGCCCTTACTATGGTGGCAGATGAAGGGCAGAGCCAGATCTCTAATGCTCACTCCCTGGGAGGTTAACCTGTGCTCTCCCCAACAGGGTCAGCTCTCACCAGCCGGAGGTAGTAGGGGTAAGTGGGGAGGGCATCTGTCCCTTGTCCCCACCACCACACCCAAGATGAGGGAGGCAATACCAGTTATGCCCCTCTCATACCCTCAGGGCTGGCTCACCTGCACCCCTGTCTATAAGGTTAGTTCTACTGTGCTGCCCAGGCAAGGACAGGGCCAGTACTGCAGCTGGTAAGGGTTTGGGTCAGGTCCCCTCGTCTGCTCCAGGTGTTGAGGGGGTCATCTTTCCCCCACACCACCACATGGGAGATGAGAGGGATGTGACTTGCTCTTCCGTTCTCATGCTCTTAGGGCCAGTTTCGCCCATGCCTCTCCCATCCCCCCAAAGAGGGTCAGCTTTATTTTGCTGCCCAGGTGAGGTGGTATAAAATCCTCTCTCCGGAGTGCTTTAGCCAGTGAGGGGCAGGACCAGTTCTCCCTGGTATTGTAGTCAGTGAGAGGTGGTGACAACTCTGTACAATCCTATCCTCTCTGCCTTTGGTGGTATCAGGAGCCATGGACATCAGCACCGACTGTGGCTGCATCAGGACCAGCCCAGGCTCAGACAACACCATGGCCCTGGGTGGCAATCGGGTGGATCTGTTAATCAATTACCTGGTCTACCAAGTGAGTTCAGTACAGCCTGGGCTATACAGTGAAACTCAGTTTTGAAAAATGAAAACAAAACAAAGCAAAAAGATTAAGTAAAGCGTTTTGGTATGTTTTTTCTTTTCTTTTTGAAATTATAATATAATCACATCATTTCTCTCTGAACCCTCCCATATACCCCTTCTTGGGCTCTTTCAAATTCATAACCTTCTTTTTCACTAATAGTTACTACCTTGTGTGTGTGTGTGTGTGTGTGTGTGTGTGTGTGCATCTTTACTAAATATAACTTATTTTATCTAAAAGATTTTTATTTAGCAAGTCTATAAGTGATTTATAGGTACTTTGTGTTTGCAGATGAATGCTGATAAGATAAAAGCCAGTCAAAACAGGTTAAAGGAATTCTTCCTATGAATAGGTCTGAGGGAGAGGAAGACATGTTTTGACTGTAAATGTTGCTTTATCTTCTTTGGAAGGTTTTATCAAAAGTGCTGGTTTATAGCTGAGAAAAGAACTTTAATTGGTTAAAATAGGTCACCTTACATTTTGGCCGTAAGCATGGTTCTGTTGAACTGTGTCTCAGAAAAGGTCAATCCCTTTACACAGGTGATCTTCACAGCGGTCTTGGTTCTTGAAAAGTTTTTGCACCCCAATTAACCTTTCTGCCGATGTAATAATCCAAATCAGACCAAATCAAACTGAATTAGAAAAAGCCCAGGTTTAATGGATACTAATGCTCCCGGGTGGCCTCCAGACCCCCAGAGATGGAGACAGAGAAGAGAGACGGAAAATCACGGAGAGAGGAAAGGAAGACCAGAAAACCATGGGTTTGTTTTCTGAGGGACAGTTTAAATACCCTGTGGGAGTGAACTTGAGTCTCTCTGAGGAGGGGTCACCGTTTGGCGGTCTTTCTCAGAGGTGTAGTCTGGACTGAGGCAACTCCCAGGGGTGGAACTTTCCACCCAAACAGTTCTTATTTTGTTTTGTGTTTTTAAAAATTGTGCTCAAAGTTTGGACGCTGAGCCAGCCAGACATTTGAACCTCGGGGGAGTGGTGGTTATATCTTAGTGGTGGCATTCCCTGTTTGTTCTGAGAAGAAGAAACTGAAGAAGCTGATTGAAGCTTCTGATATTAAAGTTAATTTCTTTTATCACTGTAAGAGCAGTAAGATTAGGAAATAGACAGTTTTCATTTTTTTCCTAATTGCTTTTATTGTAGGTATAGAAGATTTAGGAACGGGAAAGGTTTAGTGAAAAGTATGTTTGGGCCTAACTGGTTAACCTTAAGACCCTGGCTATTTTTAGGTGAGCATAAGTAACAATTTCGATAGTGATTGTGAAGTGAGAGAGGCAGAGAGTGAGTTAGTTTGTTGTGAACTTTTCCTGGGAGATGTGAATAAATGATAAGTCAAAGTAACTATTCCAAGTCCAACCTTGTTGTCAAATGCATTTATTGAGCTTATAAGAGCATAAGATCAGAGAGAGTACTCAAGACCTTAAGAAGGAGGGGCTGGTTACTCGGGTGTACTTTGGGAGTTCTCTTATTTTAATTGATAGATTAGATCATATATTTATTTTTCCTACTGCACATGTCTCTTCCCATAATGCATCCAATTTGATTCATATGCATGCCCAATTATACATAGGCATAAGATTATAAATTGGAATTTTCCAACAAAATTCACTGGAACAAGATGGTTTGTCTTAGTGTACATGTACCCCAAACCAGTTCAGGCCAGATCAGCCTTTCTCTTCATTCTGTTCAGATACATTGGGATTGCACTTTAATGGTCCAAATTTGATTGTTGTTGGGACCAAGAAGTTACACTGTTGTTCAGAGTAAAGTGTACATGAGTCCCACTTAGGTGGAGAGTAGAGGGATTCTGAGGTTATTAGCTGCATTGTTGGGAGAGGGATGTGTATGCATAGTACATGCAGGTGAAGGAGCTGAACTGCCAAGTGCATGCATTATTACATGCTCCAAACTAAATAGGGTCCCAAGCCTCTAAGCGATTTCCTATGTTTGACTGCCTTATAATGACTTTCGCTACTGTTGAATCACCCGAGATCTGCATCACCACCCTCCCAGTTTGGACCTTGGCTCCATATCACCAGGAGCTTGGGCAAGGGCCTAGGGGTTAAACACACACACACACACACACACACACACACACACACACACACACACA